CAAATTCCAGTGTTCAGCACAATTTCTCAGTCATTCATGGACATATACACACTCATTGTCACATTTTTTTCTCTGTGATTTATCATAACATTTTGTGTATATTTCCCTGTGCTATACAGTGTAATCTTGTTTATCTATTCTACAATTTTGAAATCCCAGTCTATCCCTTCCCACCCTCTACCCCCCCGGTAGCATTTCTTTACACTAACAATCAAATATCAGAAAAAGAAAGTAAAAAAAAAAAAATTCCTGTTAAAATTGCATCAAAAAATAAATAAATAAAATACTTAGGAATAAACCTGACCAAGGAGGTGAAAACATATGCTGAGAACTATAAAACATTCACAAAGGAAACTGAAGATCATTTAAAGAAATAAAAAGTTATCCCATGCTCTTGGATTGCAAGTATTAGTATTGTTAAAATGGCCATACCACTCATAGAAATATTCAGATTTAATGCAATCCTTATCAAAGTACACATGACATTTTTTCACAGAACAACATATAACCCTAAAATTTATATGGAATCACGAAAGACTCAGAATTGCCAAATCAATACTGAGGAAAAAGAACAAAGCTGGAGGTATAACCCTCCCATACTCCATACAATTCTAGAAAGCTACAGTAATCAAAATAGCATGGTACTGGCACAGTGACAGATATTTGGATCAATGGAACAGAATAGAGAGCCCAGAAATAAACCCACACACCTATGGTCAATTAACCTTCAACAAAGGAAGAAAGGCTATATAATGGAGAAAAGATAGTCTCTTCAGCAAGTGGTACTGGGATAGCTGGACAGCCACATGTAAATCAACAAAGTTAGAACACTCCCTCACACCATACACAAAAATAAACTCAAAATGGTTTAAAAACCTAAACATAAAACAGGACACCATAAATTTCCTAGAAAAGAACATAGGCAAAACATTCTGTCATAAACTGTAGCAATTTTTCCCCGAATAAGCTGCACAGCAAAGGAAACCATAAACAAAATGAAAAGACAACTTACAGAATGTGAAAAATTATTTGCAAACAATGCAACTGATAAGGGCTTAATTTCCAGAATACACAGAAGAGCTCATACAACTCAATAATAATAATAAAAAAATCCAGTCAAAAAAATGGGCAGAAGACCTAAACAGACATTTCTCCAAAAAAAACATACAGATGGCCAACAGGCACATGAAAAGATGCTCAGTATCACTAATTATCAGAGAAATGCAAATCAAAACTACAGTGAGGTATCACTTCATACTGGTCAGAATGACCACCATTAAAAAGTCCACAAATGATAAATGCTGGAGAGGGCTGTGGAGAAAAGGGAACTCTCCTACACTGTTGGTGGGAATGTAATCTGGCGCACTATGGAAAACAGTATGGAGAGTCCTTAAAAAACTAAAAATAAAGTCACCATATGATCCGGCAATCCCACTGCTGGGCATTTATCTAGAGGAAACTCCATTTCTAAAAGATACATGAACCCAAATGTTCATAGCAGTACTATTTACAAAAGCCAAGACATGGAGGCAACCCAAATGTCCACAGACAGATGAATGGATAAAGAAGAGGTGGTGTATATATATATACAATGCAACACTACTCAGACATAAAAAGAATGAAGTAATGCCATTTGCAGCAACATGGATGAACCTAGAGGTTATCATACTAAGCGAAGTAAGTCAAATAAAGACAAATATCATACAATACTACCTATATGTAAAAATCAAAAACATGATACAAATGAACTTATTTACAAACCAGAAATAGACTCACAAACATAAAAAACAAATTATGGTTACAAAAGGGGAGAAGGGTAGGAGGGATAAACTACGAGTTTGGGATTAGCAGATACAAACTACTATGTATAAACAACAAGATAACTATATTCAATATCTTATAATAACAAATAATGAAAAAGAATATGAAACATATATATGTATAACTGAATCACTATGCTATACACTAGAAACTAACACAACATTATAAATCAACTATACTTCAATTAAAATAAAATCAATAATACCCCACACTAACAAAATAAAGAAGAAAAAAACACACACACGATCATTTCAACTGATGCAAAAAAAAAAAACCCACTTATGGTAAACTTCAGCACCCTTTCATGATAAAAAAATTCAACAACAAAGTAGGAATACACGGAAACTACTCCAATATAATAAAGGCTATATATGAAAATCTCACATCTAAAATCATCCTCATTGGTGAAAGACTGAAAGCTTTTCCTCTAAAATCGGGAATAAGATAAAGATTCCTGCCTTCACAACTATTTAACACAGTATTGAAAATTCTACCTAAGCAATTAGACAAGGAAAAAAAAAATAAAAGGAACCTAAATTAGAAAAAGAAAAATGAAATTATCTCTTCACAAATAATATAATCTATGTAGAACATCCTAAAGATTCCATTTTAAAAACTGTTAGAAGTAAGAAAGGAATTCACCAAAGTTACAAGATAAATAATAAACACATAAAAACCAGTTGTTTCTATACACTGACAATAAATACGAAAAGGAAATTAAATAAACAATTCCATTTGTAATAGCATTAAAAAGAATAAACGCTTAGAAATAAAATTAACCAAGGAGATGAAAGGCTTGTACACTGAAAACTACAAAATGTGGCTGAATGAAATTAGAGAAGACACAATAAGTGGAAAGAGATTCCATATCCATGAATTAGAAGACTTATTATTAAGATGTCAATACTTTCAGAAGCAATTTACAGATTCAATGCAATCCCTATCAAAATCCCAATGACAGGTTTTGTAGTTACAGAAAAATTCATCCTAGAACTCGTACAGAATCTCAGGTGACAGTGAAAAGCCAAAATAACGTTGGAAAAGAACAAAAATGGAGATCTCACTTCCTAATTTCAAAACTTATTACAAGTCTACAGAAATCAAAACAATGTGGTACTTACATAAAGACAAACATACAGACAAATGGAAGTGAATAAAGACTCTAGAAATTAACCCTCATATGTATAGCCAAATGATTTTTCACAAGGGTGTCAAAACTACCCAGTAAAGGACAATCTCTACAATCAATGGTGTTGGAAAAACTGGATACCCACATGCAAAATAAAGAAGCTGGACCCTTATCTTTCACCATATACAAAAATTAACTCAAAATGTATAAAAGACCAAGTTCTAAGAGCTAAGAGTATAAAAATCTTAGAAGAAAATATACGGAAAAAGTTTTCTGATATTGGATTTAGCAATGATTTTTTTTTTTGGATTTGACACCCAAAATACAATAAATAAAAGAACAGATAAACTGGGTAACATCAAAACTAAGAAGTTCTAGGCACCAAAACACTCAAAAACAGAGTGAAAAGGAAACACAAAATTGGAGAAAATAACTGTAAATCGTATTATCTGATATGGAGTTAATATACAGAAATCCTAAAATTCAACAAAACAACCACTCTACTGAAAAATGGGTAAAGGACTTGAAAAAGACATTTCTCCACAGAAAGTATACAAACAGCCAATAAGTACATGAAGATGCTCCACATCGCTAATTACTGGGAAAAATGCAAATCAAAATCACAATGACATACCATCTCACACCCATTAGGATGGTTACTTAAAAAAAACATAAAAACAACAAGTATCTGGTGCGGATGTGGAGAAATCCCTGTGCACTGCAGGCAGAAACGTAAAATGATGCAGCTGTTATGAAAAACAGGGTAACAGTTCCTCAAAAAATTGAAAACAGAATTGTCATATAGCCCAGCAATTTTGAATATATACCCAAAAGATTTAAAAGCACACTCTTGAAGAGATGTTTATATACCTATGTTCACAGTAGTATTCACAATAGTTAAAAGGTGGTAACAACTCAAGTGTCCAATGACAGGAGACTAAACAAAATGTGGCATATATACATATAACGGAGTATTATTCAGTCATAAAGAGTGAGGAAATTCTGACACGTGTGACAACATGAATGAACCTTGAAGGGATTATGCTACATGAAATAACCCATTCACAAAAAAACAAAACAGTGTATGACTCCACTTATGAGGTACTTAAACTAGTCACATTTAGAGACAGTAAATGGAATGGTTGTTGCCAGATTGTAGGAGAAGCGAGGAATTGGGGTTATCACTTAATGGGTACAGTTTCAGTTGTACAAGATGAAAAGAATTCTAGAGCTAGATAGTAGTGATGGCTGAACAAATATGTGGATACAGTTAATACCACTGAATTGTACATTTAAAAATGGTTAATATAGTAAAATTTATGTTATGTGTATTCACCATAATTTAAAAACATTTTAAGTGTCAACAAACATTATCACAAAGTCTGATCACAAACAAGTTTGTTTCAAGTGCATTTATTCAACTTCATCAATTTGCTGACAGATTAATGCATATTTGTTACATGTGTACTAATATATATTTTCTTATTTATATATTGTTGAATTTTAAGTAGTACTTGATAAAGTAGACCTCTCTAAACACTGATAACTTGATATGGCAAGGCAATCCACTTGAAACTGGTAGCTACCTATTAAAAAAAAAACCTAATGCAGATTTTAAAATCATCATTTTACAGTCTGCACAATACACAATGCATATATATATATATTTTTCTATATTTCAGTGAAAGGAAAAATCAAGTTTTTATCTTTTATTTCCAAGAAAGGACGGTAACAAGAAGAATCAGACCGAGGCAGAATACATATTTAACTACTTCATAAAGAGGTATTAATTGAATATAAAAAGAATTTCCCCATCAGATATCATCAAAAAAACATTACAAATGACTACAGGAAACAGAAATCATTCCTCCATTACAGGGGAAAACATTGTGTCTGCATGTCATTTGGGATTCAGTAGGATATCTGTTGCCATTTTCTCTTCCTAATCTTTCCTATGTTGCAACTACCAATCTGACAAGAACTAAAGAACCACTTTCTCTTTTCCCAAATCTGAATTTTTCTCCCCTCTAATAGTTGAGTTCACCTGAAGTCATTTTCTTATTTCTTCTTTGGAGTATGCCCAGGCATCACGGCTGAACCTTAGGTTTTCAGGTCCAGATAATTTTACACTGAGAAATGACCAACTATTTATCTACTGAGGTAAGGGCAGGTATGGGACCACAAACAGCCAGTGCAATTTTCAGAATTACTTTCACAATGGTGTTCAAGTCAGGTCCCATTTACATGCAGTGAATTGGAAGGCATGTACCTTAATATACCATTCTAGGTATATTAAATTCCTAATGACTGTATTAACTAGAAAGATGCTAAAATACAAAATCCTAGTAAACATTTGAAATAAAAACTTAAATCCTCTCATGTTTGCTTAATATTTTTTTAAACACAGAATGAAACAAATTTGAACAGTGCAATAATGTTTAAAGCAAAAGCCATTTTTTAATCCACCATAAAAGATATGTATTTCTCACTTTATTTATAGACAGTATCAAACACTGTAAGTAATGTAATTCTATAGACTATTAAACTAATTAAATATCCACTTAAACATTATTGTAAATACAATGCTAGCACTTATTTCTTCTTAATGAATCCATTTTCCCTCTCCCTTTTGAAATAAGCTCAGATTCAAGCTCATATGCTGCATATGCAGCACCATGAAGAGCAACACTCAAATGTCAAAAAGAATAAATCAGAAGAGACTCACTGCTTCCCAGACAAATGAGCAGATTATGATTTTTTGATACACTCAGGCTTCCAAGTGCTTTCTCTTTCAGAGCCAAGCATATAAATAGGTAAAAGAGGTAATAATAATCACATTTTGACACACTGACAGACTCAATTACAGTACAGTGGTGAAAACCCTGAGTACAAGGTTAAGTAAAATCAAGAAAATCAGAGTAAAACTATTATTACCATAATTTGCTATTAACAAAAAAAATCCAGCAAATATACAGCACTAACGTCTCTATTTCAAAAAAGCATTTGCTTTAACTTCACAAAAAGGAAGAAAGTTCCTATGTAAAAATTTAACACATAAATAATTCAGTGATGTCCCTGAAGCAACCAAAATGAGTATCTGTCCAGAATACAAGCTAAATTATAATTGTGTAGAATTATTTTCTGGATAATTAGAAAGTCATTTTCTCTTCCTAATCTTTTATATTTAAATACCAAAGCTTTTGAAAGAAGTCAAACAGTATTGGTCAACTATATATTCAAAGTTATCTGTAAAGGGAAGCCCTCATCAATGAGTCTCCATTATGCTTTTTCTATCTTAGGATGCTAAATGTAGTTAAGAAAATAAAAATCCTCTCAAGCTACTTTTAGATTATCACTGAGCTAGTTAAATAAACATTATGCCTGTTGTGTAATGTGACTCTCAGAGTACTTATTCTGCTGATAATAAACAGACATCATGCACTCTCTACCACATGAGACCAGTTTAGAAAAAAACAGCTGAGTCACCCATCAATAGTCTTCCTGCTCTCAGTAACTCAGTGGAAATTTCTCTCTCACTCCAACACTTGGCTTCTTCACCCAATCCCTGAAGACTTCCCCTCAGTAACACCAACCAGTTTATGATAAAGCTCATTTTAGGAATCACATAGTTCTACCTCCACCCCAACTAACACAATGAGTGTTCCTGACAATACAAAAACAAAGATAAGCAAAAACAGTAGGCTAATTAGGCTGGCAAACTTCATCTCAATTAGGCCAATCTACTCTGGAGAAGAACATGTCTCTCCAGTTGACACAGAGGTGACGGTACTTAACTACTGCACTGTCCATACAGCTTATGCTCTTTGTGGACATGACCAACACATCCCCTAGATTTTCTTTCCAGAGTATCCCTGAATGACATGGTTCTGGGTTCTTGACTTCAACTACAAATAACAAGGTCTGCTTTAGATTCTCTTTCCTTCGAGGACGCTAATTAATAGTATCATCAATAGAAAACATCAAGCCCAAAAAAACTTTTTTTGGAATGAAATAAACTTCACAACATACATTATATAAAATGCAGCAACACAATTTTTTTTCCCAGCATCAACAGAAGTTCTGGAAATAAAATGAAGTTCCTGCGCTCAAGGAATTTACAATTCACCTAACTCAACTTTAACAGAATATAGGAAGTGCTCAAAGGAGGGTGAATAACATGTCAAGAAGCAAAGCAGAAAACTGATTAATTCTTCCCAGGAAAAGATTTCTAGAGAGCTGCCACAGGCAATACTTAAATGATCAATGGACAGGTAAGTGGGCAGTTGGCCACATGAGAAGAGGAGCACCATGTGTAGGCAAAACAAAGAGGGTAAGAAGTACAAAGACCTGGAGAGTGGAAAAGCAGGAAAAGTCTGCTGAACTCTGAAAAGGTCAATGATGCCAGAGCACAGGGCTGGGTGAGCCAGAGTGAGGCCACAGAATTGAAATTAAAGCTGAACTAAAAAGATGTGTCAAGGTAAGTAAGGATTTTTCCTTAAAAGGAACCACAGGATATGTTGGACATGTCAGCAGTATCAGTGGATTTGTTAAATGAAATGGACTATTACAATAATATGGAGTCCTGGAGAAAGGGTATGTGTCAGGGATACCACTTAGGGGGCTTCATAATAGTCTAGGTACATGATGATAAGGATTTGTCTAAAGTAATAAAACTAGACAAAGGAGGCATATTTCAGAGATAATTAGTATACTGAAATACCAGGACTTTCTAAGTAACTAGATATAAGGGGTAAGGAAATGGATGCACCAAGGTCTGAGGATTGGGTAGCTCAGGATGCATAAAGGTCCAAAAATGACTGGACCCCAGGCTACCCCTGGGACCTCACCTCATATCCCATTACTCTCCTGCCACACTGGCCTTATTGGGCTTTATTTATTTACTTATTTAATGGAGGTACTGGGGATTGAACTCAGGACCTCGTACATGCTAAGGCACGCGCTCTACCCCTGAGCTATACCCTCCCCTACACTGGCCTTATTTATTTCCCTCAAATATACCAAGTTTATTTTCTCTTAATGTCTTTGCATTAGCTATTTTCTTTGCTTTGGATGAAAAAGTGATAAATTCAACTGTATTATGCTGACTTTTAGCTGTCAAAGAAAACCCTAGATATAAAAGTGTACAGAGTAATTAGACCAGAGTTCCAATCTAGCAATCAACAGTGTAAAACCAACTTTTTGCCACCACAGTAGATGAGATCACCTAGTGTTCAAGACCAAATAACGAAAAATTATTTGAAACAGACATTCTTGATGTAGTTTCTGAAGGATGGGGCATAAACTCCCTTTACTGAGAGTCTTAAACTCCCTTTTTAAAGTCTGTTTACCAGGCACATACCTACTTTAACTGTACAAAACCTCCCTGAAGTAAATCATTTTTAAAATAAGAAAACAGGTTCAGAGGAAATAAAGTAACTTGCCCTGGTTAATTCAGAATGTGAATTTCAATCTGCTGATACCAGTGAAAGTATAGGGAAACAAAAACAAGTAGAGAAACAAAATATCAATTAACAAAGTACTCAGGATAATGGTTACCTATAGAGAGAAAGGAGGGGGGTGTGGCTTAAAGGAAGAGCACATTTGAGGGTTTCAAAGTTATTGATAACTTATTTTTTAAGGTGAGTGGTAGTTATTTTATTTATTATTCTTTCAAACTGAATATGTAACATACTCAATTTTTATACAATTATATATTCATAATAATTATTAAAACTATAGGTGCTTTAAAAAAAACTAAGTGGAAGAATTAAAAACGGAGAAGCTAGACTAACACAATGCATAACTTCAGAAGCTGTACAATGTATAGAGCCTGATAAGCTGTTAGTCGTCAACCTTGTGCAAATCAAAGTACAGTGCAGGACATAACTGAGTTCACAAGTCAGTTCATGATGATTAATAGGATTACCAAACAGCCAAGTTACAGCTTAGTAAAGCTTTGTCTAACTATACTAAGAAATCATAAATTCTTAAAGTACATCAGCAAAGGCATTTTAATCTCTACAGTAGAACCCTTCATCCTTCTAGCTGGAAAAGAGGAAAACACTTGCTTGGTTAGACTGATTCAGGGATGGGAATTGGCAAACTACAGAACTGAGGGAAAAAAGGGAACTAAGGGTTAATGATGACTAATGATAAGATCAAGGAGGCTAAACAAGAGGAATGTGAAGGCAAGAGGCTTCTCACATCTAGAATGGAAAGGGATGAAAGAATTAAAGGGTCACAGAATGCAAAACAGGTACAACAGGACTAAACATGGGAGAGGTAGAGGTAGCTGTGATCAGAGAAACTGCAGACTTCAAGTTCAAATGCAGAGCAGTTCTAGGGAGAAACTAGATGTAGACTAGCACTCTTCAACAGAAATAAAATACAAGCCACAAAAGTAACTTAAAAATTTCTGGTATCCACATTAGAAAAAGTAAAAATAAAGAGGTAAAATTAATTTTAGTAATATATATTATTTAACCCAATATACCAAAAATTTCAACTTGGAGTCAATAATAAAACCTGAGACATCTGGTATACAGTCAGCCCTCAGTATCTACTGATTCCACATCCACAGATTCAACTAAGCATGGATCGAAAATACTCAGAAAAAAATTCCAGAAAGTTTCAAAAAGCAAAACTTGAATTTGCTGCAGGCTAGCAACTATTTACATGGCATTTAAATTGTATTTACAACTATCTACATAGCATTTACATTGTATTAGGTATTATTAAGTAATCTAGAAATGATTTAAAGTACAGGCATATCTCATTTTACTGTGCTTCACTTTATTGCATTTCAAAGATACTGCAATTTTTCCCAATTTCAGCTAAAACTGGAGTCAGAACAGGCCATTTGGGGGAGCTCTCATGTCCTGCCAAGCATCATCAACTGCTCCAAACACGAAGAGACACAAGCCTCCACTCCAACAAACAGGTGCCTCTCCTTTACTATCCAGCAGAAAGAAAATACCTCTCTCCCCACAACAGTCCAGCCAATCAGAGTAGAGTAGCCCAACTGATGAGAAGCCTCCATACTTTGGACTCCCAGATTCCTCCAGTGGACTCCTTGGTTATCACAGCCCTTCCCAACTCCCCCTTATCCCCTATAAAAAGTAAATCCCCCTTCCTTGTTCTTTGAATTTGCCGATTGGTACACCATTAACGCACATTTTCCAAACTGCAATGCCACTGGCCATTGGCTATTCCGAAATAAACCTGCTTTTGCTGGTAAAATAACTGGCTATTATATTATTAAAACTGACAGTGGCAATCCTGCACTGTCAGATGATGGTTAACATTTTTAGCAATAGAGTATTTCTCAATTAAGGTAAGTACTTTTTTTAGACACAATGCTTTTGCATGCATTTACTAAAGTGTAAATACAACTTTTATATGCACTGAGAAATCAAACTGATGCAACTTGCTTTACTGAGATATTCAACTTTACTATGGTGCTCTGAAACTGAACCTACAGTATCTCCACAGTATGCCTGTAAATGGGAGGATGTGCATAGGTTACATTCAAATATTATGCCATTTTATATAACAGAATTAAGCATAACTAGATTTTGGTAGCTGAGACGGGGGTGGTCGTGGAACCAATCCTGTGTGGATACCAAGGGACAACTGTATTTTATATTTTATACTACATGTCAATTTGCACTAGCTATTTCCAGTGCTCAAAGCCACAGGTGGCTCTAGTGGCTACTGTATTAAACAGTGCAAGTCAAGACTGTATCCAATATGGGTTGCTCAATATATGTTCATATATGGTTGCTCTGGGAAAATAAAAAAAGAGAATAAAGGAGGGTTAATCCAGGAGCCCACAGCAACAGTTTGATGTGGCAAAAATGAATGCTAGACATTCTCATGGTAGATCCAGAAAGTAAAATGGGAAAGTAAATTGTGCACCAAATGCTAAAATCCTTAAAGAATGTGGAAATTTACTCTGGAAAATCAGTGATGATAGCAATAAGGAAAGCTGTATATGCATTTGCTACATGAGTCATAGGTCAAGGACCGAGAGAGAGAAATGAAGACCAGAACAATGCTGAGCCTGCCTCCCAAGATATAAAGAAAGTTAAAAAAAACAAAACTAATAACATTCACTTGAAAGGATTTTTAGGAAAGCCATGTTACCTAAATTTCCAGAGAGTAAGGAGACAGAAAGGGTGAGAGAGTTCAAGGATAGGATGCAAAAGTAACCTGATCCAGAGGTTGCAGACCTAAAACAAAAACAGACCGTTCAAGAAGGTCTATTAACATCCAGAGATCCTACAAGCACTATAACTACCATGGAATCAAAATATACAGGTAAGCAAATAAACAGTAGAAGGCAAGTTCCCTGATTCTAGGACTAAGCCTCTTTAGGAGCTCAGAATACATATCACATAAACTTTGGAATATTTAATCTTCTCAGAGAAATAAATGGATTAAGTACAAAGTTGGCAGTTGTTAAGGAAAATGATTATCTTCCTTAAACTTTGTGAGGTAGCCTTTTTCAAATAAACCCTTTGTACCTAGCACACAGGATGCACTCTACAAATATCAGGTATCCAAGTACAGTGGGAATGATGGCCTTCTAAGAAAATCTGGCTATTAATTCAAACAGATCATCTTAACAGTAAAACTGATAAATAGGAAAAAAGTATATTCAATAACATGCCTTTACAAACAGGCTTGAGGAGTATTCAAACTATATAAATCATATTTACCACAATAAATCTATATAGACTCCTAGCTCCTCTTTGTTATTAGGTCCACCTTTTGCTGTCAGCCATAAATCTGGGAACATAGCACAGGCATTTTTCTGCAGATCATTAAATTTCTTATAATTTTTCATTCTCATAAATATCTAGCAAGATGATAAACATCAAAGATGAAAAACAATAATGTCTCCCCAGGCAGATTCTCATTAGGGTTGTCTTACTACTACTCAATTGCTGACAGAATTGTTTACTCCTAATGACATGGCTCATCTAATAAATTAAAAATATGTACATTATAAATCAAAGTCTCTCTAATCCAAAGAATGGCTCTAATAGATGACTTGGGATAAATCTGAATCAAGCTTTGGCTAAAACAAAATACAATTAATCTACCCAATACTAATAGATAGTGCATCATCTCTCCTTCACTCCCTTCTCCTACTCCTGTCTTCAAGTAGAACAATTCTTGTTTTATTTGATACAGTTAGCAAAAAATATTTCGCCTCTCAAAATAAATGTTTTATGATACTGATTTACAGTTAAGACAGGGCAAAAATAAATAACCTTTGCAGAAATACCAGGTCATCATTTCAGGAATGATTTTCAAACGCTTTCATTTTGAATTCCACTAAAACAGTTACCAACAAAAAGTAACAACAATGGATTAATATCACCTATAATTTCTTTTTCTGAGGATTATACATAGCAATGAATAGGTGGCAAAAAGAAGAGTTAGAAGGTGGTAGAGAAGAACCAGTGGGAGGCCATAATACACCTCACAAAATAAAAGATGGTATACATAAACCAGTAACTAACGATCTGTTTTAACACTTGGAATTTTTTTCCAAATAAATCATAACAAAATGAGGACTACTTCTCAAAAAAGTAAGTAACAGATGTGCCACTACACAGGCTATTTCCATTTTCTGTACTATAATGTTTACTTGACGGTTAACATTAATGAACGATTTCTGGAAATTTCACAGATGAACCTGTGTTTTTAGATAGCATCAAGGTTATTACCATGGCTTTCTGAGTAATTACCTTGGGATTTCTGAACCACTGTACGTATCAGCTTCGCCTGAGATGTGAGGTTTTTTATTTCATATAATTTTTCCAGGATAATAAATACAGCAACAGTCAAACCAATAAAAATTTTAACAGTATTAAGTGATAAAATGAAAACATCTATGTAGCAAGGTCTGGTTTCCAGTAATGATGAATATAGTTATAAACTGGTATTAAAGAGTTTAGAAAAAGTCCGAGAAACATGATATTGAAATGCAATGCAAGGGTAGATAAAAATTCATTCCCTAAAATTAATTTTCAACTTTAAAAACAGTGTTAAATATTACAAAGCTATTATAAAATAGACAATGCGATGAACATTTATTGAGCATCAGCATTTGTCAAGGCCTTTGCATCTACTACTTGCTTTAATCCTCACATCATCCTATGATGTAAGTATTGTTGTTTCCACTTAATAATGGCAAAATTCTACTTGGAGAAAGGTTTAACTTATCCAAGATCTCATAATTAATAAATGGTAGAACTGGGAGTCACAGCCAGGTCTCTCTTTCTAAAAAGAAACTTCACTGCCTATAATGCAGCCTTTATACTGTGGCAAACTAAGAATTCTTTCCCATGGTTTATATTTTGGATATGGGGGTGGAGCTCTTCACCTTAAAAAAAATAATGTGAAGACTATATGACTGAGTGGAGCACCAAGATGACAGAGTAAAAGGACTCACAGCTCACCCCTTTCCATGAATACACCAAGAATCACATCTACAGACCATCAATTTGCACAGAACATCTACAGAACTTTGGCAGAATACCTCTTACTTCAAAATACAAGAAGATGCCTCACAAAAACCAGTAGCAGAAAAAAAGAAATCAGTGCAGGACCTGTTCTGCAGAGAGGGAATAGCAAAGGAGGAGAAGCGCTCACACCCTCTCCAGCTGGGAGGTCAGTGAGAACAGAGGGGGAGCTCCCAGGGTTCAGAGGAGAAAACAGCAGCCGTTTGGCAGGCAGAATTGAGAAAAGCCAGCATAAAGGGTCCCTGTGATCCCCAGCCCTAGCCACAAGTTGATGGGGGTGGGCTGGGGCTAGCTGTTATGATGAGCCCAGGGAGGGGGCTGAGGCTGACTGATTAGAGACAGCTTCAGGGGGCTGGAGTGTGGTATGGGCTGTGGCTGGGAGTGTATACAGAACATAATAGCTGGGAGCCCCATAGAAAAGCAACACTGCTGGTGTGCATGGAGGGGAGGGGCACAACACAGCAGGGCCATAGCCACTGTCTCTGCTAGCCTAGAGGGCTTCCTAGGCACCACTGTTGGCATGTTCTCCTGAGAAGAGAGGCAGGGCTCAGTTACAGTCATCACAATTGCTGGTGGACAACTCCTGGGTGGAGGCAGGGCTAAAACCTGAATCCACACCCAGGGGCCCTGCAACTTCACAGGCAGGCCTGAGATTTGATTACAACTCCAGGCAGAGAAGGGCAGATTTGCTCCACTGGTGCCTTTCTGGACTCATGCTGCTAAGATGAACAAACAATGAGTGGAGTTCTGAGGCATGGTGGGGGCGGGTTCAGCATTTACAGGAGGCTTGTGTACCATACACAAATGCGGGGCTGGGGTCTGCACTGACCCTGTGGCACACCACAGATCCAAGTGTGTGACTGCACACTCACTACAGCGGGTCCTAGTGCCTGAAGT